TTAATTGATTTGATAATTTATTCAAATATTTTTAAGAGGCTATATACATAGAGTAATGGTACACCTATTTAAATAATTACTAACAATCTTATTAAAAATATATATGTCCAAACATCATTGGTGTTTAAATATTATTATTTTTTTGGCAATCAATTACATTTTGTATTCGTTTGGCATGTTAGTTTTTTTGATTTTTTGACTATTTTAGCCATAAAAAAGATAAAATAGATTTTTTAAACCAATAAGACGAAACAACACATCCAATTTATAATCATTTCATTTTTCTTTTACAAAAGTTAAAAAAATCAAAAAACATATCCCAATACTTTTTAGTCCTAAATTAAAATAGTCAAAAAATTTAAAAATTAACCCACATCCCAAACCAACCATTGCTCTCATATATTTTCAGTAAGATTGCTACTATATGTAAAATTATTTAGAAAATGATTTTCGGCTCGAATTTTGTCCCCCCGAACAGCTCGAATCCAAAAAAAATCATTTTCCATCTCATCTCATCCCCAACACTCTCTCTCCTCTCTCTCAACTCTTCAAATCCTCCATAGTCGCGATTCAACTGTTTGCAAACCCATATCATTCGGAGAAGCGATTCAACTCGTCTAGGAAACCCGTCTCTCATTTGGAGTTGCGATTCAAGGAATATGTTGTTGATGTGAATGTGGGTATAATATGATCTTCTTAGCTCATTTTCTTTTGAAATATCAGAAGTATTCTGAAAGGGTATTTCCTTCCATTTTGCTCTGCAAACAAGGCAAATTTGGTTTCCATGTTTTACTTTAGAAGTAATGCAGTGGAAGTGGAATGAGTGGGAGCATTCTTGAAAATGGCATGGTCGTGGCTTGGTTTCATGGTTGTTAGGCATATCGCACGAGTCCTCTACAATTAAAAAGAAATGCAAGTGAAAAGAAGATTTGTAGACAGAATCAGGAATAAAAAATGTTACAAATCAAAGAGCTTAAAAGTAAAAATTAAAGGACATAATTAAACTAGCTTTAACATAATCCTAATGCAATTCCACCTATACAATCAAAACTCCATAACTTAGCTGTAGACATTTTAGATATTCATGAAGGGCGAATTGAAATGAATATCTCTTTGTTCTCAATATCATCTCTCCGCAACTTTTCCAAAAGAAATGAGATATTTTGATGATGCTTTGATTAGCTAGTATAGTTTGTTTAGAAATAAAATTGAAACACTGAGGTGGTTAGAAAGAACAGTGATAGGCTTTCAAGTTTTCCTACTGACGGTAGGTAGAGATTTTTGGATGACGAGCTCCGCAAAGTTTTTCATTGGTCGTCGGTGGTCACCCAGGTCAGTAGTGTCAGCATTGGTCGATCTCAGGGGTGGTCACTCTCACCTATTCTTCTTCGACTGGGTCCTCTCTCTCTCTCTCATCTCCTCTCTTTTCTTCTATTTCTCGCGTGTGGTATCAATTGACCAATGTTGCAACTGGCCCAAACATTCAAAAACCACAATTTTCAATTTCAGGAGATTCGGGGGCTCATTTTCGGGCTACATAATGGAGTTGAAATTATTTTATATGGATGTTAGGCTCAAAAGATCTTAATTATAGCCGTTAGTATCATTGACGGTATAAATTGTTAAAAGCATAAAGAAAATTTATTAAATGCATATTTAATGCGTTTCACTGTAATAATTAAAAAGAAAATTTTAGGATGAATTATAATTTAACCCTTGTGGTTTACTCAAAAAATACGGAGCACTTCTATAATTTCATGTGTAACGTTTAAACTCCCTGAATTTCACACCAAAGTGCAATTTCAGATGAAACCATTTGTTTTAACAGAGCGTGTGTTGCACGACCACAAAACCAAAATTTTCCCCCTCAACTACACTGGATAATTCCTAACCTTCTTCTTCTTCCCAAGTTTTTTGAAAACCAAAGACGTTGCTTCTCTTTCTCTCTTATCTCCCTAATTTCTCCACCTTTTCCTTTCATTTTTGTTTCATTATTCTTCTACAATCTATGTCTATCATTCTCTTAACTTGAATAAAGTTAACTCACAAATTAAAATCTATGTCTGTCATTCTCTATATGGCAACAACCATCATCCTTCATCTTCTCTTTGTTATTATACATACACATACATTATATACATAGGCACACCCAATTAACTAAGCCAAGACCCAAATTGTAATGGTGGCTACCACCATGGGTGCCGTAAGAGGGGAAAGTGGTGGGTGTTGGTTGAGTGGAGGAAATGGGATAAGCTTGGTTGGTGTTTGCAACTATGGACTATTTACAAAAAGTTATGGTTTTGTTATTGACAATGCATTGCCTTTTCCTATCATTGTTTGATGTTCATTGAAGTTTTTGAAAACTGACTTCACTTTTTGTTTTTAGTTTTGGTGCAAAAAGTTATGGTTTGGGTCTACATTCTAGAGAGAGAGATGAGTGTTTGTTTGGGTCTAAATTCTAGAGAGGGATGAGTGCTTGTTTAGGTTTAAATTCTAGAGAGAAATGAGTATTTGTTTGGGTCTAAATTCTAAATACAGATATGTATTTGATGATGGTATGAGAAGTGTATGGTTTGCCATGGATGAGAAAGAAATAAAAGAAGAAGAAGAGCAAAAGAATACAATGAGAGAAGAAGAAGAAAATGAAAAGAATACATAAAAATTAAAAAAAAATGGGAGAGGAATATTTTGGTTTATAATGGCATTAAGAAGAAAATTAGGAAAAGAAGTAAGGGTAATTTAGACTTTTTAAAACTTCTGTTACGTCCATCCAAAATTGTACTTTGGTATAAAGTTTAGGGGTGTTACAAATGAAATTATAGGGGGGCTTCGTATTTTTTGGGTAAACCACAGGGGATTAAATTATAATTTACCCAAAATTTTAATATACACTCTTCTAAAAATGATACATTATATGCACCTTTAATTATATTATTTTTTTTAGTTATAACTATTTTTTTAATTATAGCATTATTTTCATTATGACTCATTAATTCTTTAGTTACGATATATATATTTTTTAGTTAAAACAAATAAAATAATTTCATTTTTTTATTTCAATTATAAGATGTATATAGTACAAACCCTTACAGGGTGTGAATTTCCTAATTAAAATGCCACAATACATCATCTCTTTAAACACAACACAAAAATAACCCATCAATAACACTACATGACAACTTTTTTGCTTCTTCAAATCACTAGTTTCAAAGAAAAATATTTAAGACCACTAATTTAAGAGCTATAGGAGAGCTCTAATTGGTAGGACCCATCTACTGATGTGATGTTTTACCTTCTTTTTTTTTTTGGTTTACTTTTCCTTTCACTGCCAGCTCATTAGAGTTGGCAGTAATGCTGTTGATTTAGTGGTCTAAATCAAAACCTAGTTTCAAAATGGAAAATGAAAGAAGAAGTTAAAAGTTAGACCACCTAAGGGCATCTTCAACAGTGTATTAAAATTTTTATTAGATTTAAATAAAAGGTTTATTTGATATCAAATGCTTTAGCAGAGATTTTTGAAGTTTCATCAGAAAAACCAGTTGGCCAGGTGGACAATTGGGTGGATGTCTTTCACAATTTTTTGCCTTGAGGTGGTCATTTGGGGGACATTCGGAGAGACATTCGGTGGTAAGAATCCAACAACTATGAACAATGATTTGATGAAAGACAAATCAATTCTCAATTTGATGAAGAATTTGAGAAATTTTAGATTTGATAAAAGGTTTTGTGAACCATTAGAGCAGCAAAAAATAAAATTTTTCATCAAATTTAAATTTAATGAAACATTTAGTAAACCGTTGAAGATGATTTAACAACTTTAATACATAGGCTCAATTTGGGATGTTGGTTATAAGTGGCGTTTTGCCAAAATGTAAAAAGTGGTTTTTTTTGGCCATAAATTGATTTGGGATGTTGGTTATAAGCCAAAAAAAAAATTACGAAATTACCCTCCATAGATGGAAAGTGAAAGGGTAAAAATGTGTAATTTTCCAATTGGCTAGGGATACATTAGTCATTTCATTATGATTTGACATTATAAACAAATATTAATGAAAAAAGTCAAAAGTCACTTTTTACCAACTTTTCAAATCATTTGTCTAAAAAAACTAAAAGCTTGATTAAAAGACAAAAAGTCACTTTTTACCATCTTTCCAAAATAAGCCATAGTATATTCTCCATCCATCATACCCATCATACTTAAAAGAAGAAATTATAACATTCACACTATTTAAAGGCCGCATCATATACCTATATAATTATATCATTTTTGGATTTTAATTTTGATCAATTTTATTAATTAATTATAATATTATTTTAGTTATGACTAGTAAATTATTTAGTTATGTATCATGTTATATTTGATTTTGATATTTTAAATTTTTTTTTTTATAATTTTAAAAATATAAAGTTATATCAACATTTTTTTAGTTATAAAATATATATATAGTATACACCTATTAAAAGGACATGTACAATAACATTTTTCCCTGAGTTATGAATTCGAGCCCCTTATTGGAGAGGCTCGAGCATAAACCTCTTTCTCCCACCTCTTTTTTGAATTCTTTAATCTGGGCTATGGTACATTTTCCTCTATCAAACTTGCAGTGAAAAGTGTAATGCGAATACTGTAAATGATATCATTAATTCATAATAAAATTACATGATATCAAAAATAAATTATAATTTTTAAGTATTACACATGTTATTAATCCATAATAAAATTACATGATATCAAGAGTAAATTATAATTTTCAGATACTATGCATATGAAGATTAAAAGACAATAAATGATTTGATTGACATGTATCATCGTTGCATTCAATTTGTTGGAATTTTGAGTTAAAATCTAACCCGACCCAATGGACAGCATCACAATTGGAGTTTGGGTTAAACATTTAACCCGACCCTATTGACCCATACCACTAAAACACCCGCCGACTCCGTCTCGGGCCGCTTTTGAATGTCTACAATGTATAATACATAACACACAGTGCCAAAACATATTGCAGAAATGTATATAAAGCCTTTAAACCCTAAACCCTAGCAGAGGAGAACCAAACGACACTGAAAAAAGGTCTGCTTCGAACCTCAAAACAACACAGCAGAGAGAGAATCGATTCAAGACCTGTCCGATTTCAGGTCAGTTTCCACAGAACAAAGATCAAACAAGAACGAATTGGCACAACAAAACGTAGGGTTTAAGTTTGTTGATTCATAATATAACTTGACTGATAAAACTCTGAACTTTCATTACCGAATCATTAGGTTTCATATTGATCTTTTTTTTTTAAAATTTTTATTGGGGTTTGTTACAACCCTTTGTTGCTTTGAATCAGACAGTTTCTGGGTTGCAAATTAATTTAGCTGAAAGTTTGTGTTGAGGTTCGAATGGCGATTGATGGAAGTTCTCGTCTTGAATTTGAGCTCAAGAGGTTTCTCTCTCGGTTTCCCAAGCTTGCTTCTGTCTCTCGACTCAATTCGCTTTTAAAAGAGGTAATGAGGTCACTCCCATTCACCAGAAATATTCACTCTGTTTGGTTTTAATGTTTTCAAAAACAGTTTTTAAGTTTCAATCCGTATTTTTTATTTTGGTCAAATTTTAGATGCACTTAAAAATAAAAAAAATTTGTGAACGAATCTTTAAAAAATGCAACAAATACAAAAAAATACGAAAATGTATTGAATTTTTGTGTTTTTAAAATACCGATTAAAAACTAAACAATTTTTGAAAGCTTCAAAATCAATTAACACTCTCTTTGTCTAAAATATGGAATTTGAAGAATTTTGTTTAATGGTATGCAAATGGGTATGTGCAGGGACACTCATTGACAGAAGAAGAAATGGTGAGTGCTTTAGCAGAGCTGTTTCTGCACCCAAATTATACAATCCCATTAATGGGATGTTTCCGTTGTATCGCTCAGCAAATTGTGGAGAGGGCCGTGGCATTGCTTCACTTGGTACCTGATTTAAGGTCCAATTCTGATGGATCCATAGTGGAATTTGATGCAGACAAAATTTTCGGAGATGATGTGGCTGGTGTTATTAATTTTTATGTTAGAAGTGGAAGGGCCTTAATTCTTCACGAGCTTGCCTGTCTGGCCTTCTGCCGAGCCCTTGATTTGGCACCTTTTCTATTGGGGTAAGCCAACATATATAGTTTCTCTCTCCCTCTTTAACCCTTCTCCTCCATGCCCATGTACCCACCACAAAAAAAGGACATAAACTCTGGTCACTGGTGCACACATATGCATCTGTGGCCAGTGGCGGAGCCAAGGAATAATTTCAGGAGGGGCAAGTATATTAATCACAATAGCAAGAAAAAAAAAATCATAAACAAAAACTTAATACTTTGCCACAACAACAAGAACTAATATAAAGTTATATTTTATTAACAAAATCGCAAAAAGTGCCAAGTTTCTAATATAAACTTTTACAATTGACCGCTACCAGTTTTCATCTTCTGAAAGTTTGGCATGATAATATCAGTACCAATGCAATCAAAAATATCTTTCTCTATGTAAATAACCAAGCTGTCTTAAAAAAAAATGTGTTTTGAAGTTGTAAATGGTTGAAGTAAAATAAAAAAAAATAAGACTGGGTTTACGAGAGAGAGAGAGAGAGAGAGAGAGAGAGAGAGAGAGAGAGAGAGAGAGAGAGAGAGAGGCATAGTGAAACATATGGGGGGCATTGGGCATTGGTAAATATTTAGGAGGGGCAAAGTTGAAGAAAAAAAAAATCTTATTATCATGCCCCTCCACTGTAGAGTTTTTGGAAATTTGAGAAGGGGCATCTGCCCCTCCACTGTCTGTGGCTTAAGCCTATTTCAGGACTAAGATGAATAATCTAAGTGAGGCCCTTAAAATTTTTACATTATAACTTTTATTTAAAATTTTTTTTCTTGCATTTTGAGATGCTAAAGTACTAATGATGTTTTTATATTCAATTTTTGCAAATATATCGACTTTAACTGATATTATAGCAGCTAATCCACTTATAATCTTATTATTTCATAAATTTTATTTTTGAAAAACTTTCTTTCTGCAAAAACAATTATTACATTTATTGTTAATAATATACGTAAGTGATGAGTGCATTTAGAAAAAAAATACATTTTCCCATATAATTCTGTCCATGAATTGAAGTCGTTTGTTATTTTAATGTTTATTTATAATTTTTTTCTATTTGCAAAATTTCTTTAAAACTTTGATTTTGAAAAAAAAATCTAAACCATCAATATCAGAAAAGTTTGATTTTACTTCCATTTTGTCTACATTTGGTTACTTTTGTCTTTTTTCTTTTGTTCATTATTTTGATCATAGCTCTTATATGTTTAGGGTTACATGTTTAGAGTAAGACAACACAGGCACCCACACATATAATTAAACAACAAGAAATATCAAGAATGTGTATTTTAGCATTATGGGGCCCACCAGAGGTATTCTCATTTTTGGTGGTATCCTCATGTTTTCACAAGAGGTGAGCCCCGTATATTTTTGGTACTTTTATGTGTTTTAATTATGTGTATGTAACCATACTTGTAAGTTGTATGCTTGGTATATTAAAACTAGAAAAATGAGGCACAAAGCCCTTGTATATTTTTGTACTTTTATGTGTTTTAATTATGCGTATGTACATTTACTTGTATGCTTAGTATATTAAAACTGGAAAAAATGAGGCCCTCATTTGTGCCAGGCCATAGGCGATCACCTTAGCTGCCTATTGGTTGAGCTGTTACTTTACTACACATGCAATCATCTAGGCCTCCTTTGTTAGGGTGGTAAAGAGGTTTGATACTATTTGGTTTTTGCACTAAAGATGCACTTTCACATCCTTTTTTTTGGGGGTGGGGTGGGGTGTCAAAGCAACTTGGTTATTGCTTGCTGAAAAATGCTTTAAGGCAACTAACCTCCAGGGGGAGGGGAAATCCTAAGTTGACCTGGGATGCGGTAGTGAAAAAGATATGAATTTACTTAATTTAACTGAACATATAGCCCTTGATAGAGTTGAATGGACAAAAAGGATTCATATAGCCGACCTAACCCCAATTGGTTGGGACACAATTTCGTTTGGTTAGTTTGCCCTTCTAACATTTCATGTATTTTCAATCTTTTTTCTCTTTCGAAACATTTATGAAATGTGTTTGTTTCCATGCTAGCCGAAACGATGCGACAAAATGAAATTGTATTCATTGATTGTCTCAATCAAAAAAGGAAAGGAAGATGTTGGTTGACTAACCAAGGTCACCTTTGTGGTGTATTGGTATGAAGCCATCCATGGTTTGCCAATCTTGGGTTCCACAAGTAGAGTAACTGAACTAAGTCCAGACTGTCAGTTCTGTTGTCACCTTGGTTCCATTATTTTCAGCCTTGTGTACAAGGTTCGATGCAGTGATGTATGAGGAATGATCTGATCTTGATTATTGAGGTGACTATCTGCATCTTTAAACAAGCAATATGTTAAAGCTTGTATGCAGCTTTCACATGTTATTCTATAGTGGGGTAACTTTTTTGCTGCTTTTATGTTATTTTTGGTTTCGTCATATCCTCAAAAAATTTGCCATCACCTAAAACCAGAAGTATGAAATGGTGAACTTGATAGGTTGTTTTGTGTTTTTGGAGCGTTGTTGAACATAATATATTAGGACATGCTGGCTTTAATTTCATTTGCAATGTAATTTTCTGACTGACACGTCTCTTCATGCTGATAGAAGTCACTGCCCAAGTGTTTAATGTTCTTAGGTACTGTGTGCTTGCTCATTGAGAAGCTTGCTCATTGAGAAGCTTGTGATTGATTTGAATCCTTTTCTGTATGATAACTCGAGTAATGTGTATTGTTTATTCTGTGCAGGTCTGTGTTAAGCTATTTTAAACTTGCTCCTTCTCCTTTTGAACGGATTATGCAGAGAAAATATGTTTCTGAGTTATCAACAATGGTATGCTAATTGTATTCCAACCCTTATGGTGTTTATAATGATTTTGTTTCTTTGCCTATTAAGACATAAGAGATGCCTTTCTTCTTATCCTCGTCTTTGGGTTTCATTCTTCATTTGTTTATTTATTTTTTAATGAAATTATATGGTATAGTAATAATATTATCCATTATTTTTTAGTTTTTCATATGTTGATGCCTTGTTGGTCCTTTTTGTTTTTGTTTTTTTATTTTATTTTTATAAATTTGGTGGCTTACTCTTTATTTCACTTTAACTATTGCAAAATTTGAGCAAGGGATTTCTTAGTTTTTGGTGGATTTCGTTCAACTAATTTTATTTCTCCTGGTAGATTGTAATTGCAATCATTACTGTTACCATTGTTCTTTCAGTTTCTTTTTATTTATTTATAGGAAATTGGGGATCTACTCTTTCTTTTTGGCCAATATTTTAATTACCTTTATGTTTTATCAGGTGGGAACCCAGTATTTATTAAATGTTATCCGAGCATCATACCGCCTTCTTTTGGCTCAGTCTGAAGTTTTTGCCACACTCTGGGACTGGTCCTGTTTTTTGGATGTTGTACAGCATACTGCAGATTTTGATCCAGGTGATAATGCAGAGATGTTGAGGAATGTTTCAGACATGAGATGGTGTGGGATACAGATCCTGTCAATAGTTCTCAAAATAAGTGATAGAGCAACTGCCAACTTTGGTCTTGGGCCTGAAGAGGCATTTTCATGTTTTTTGCGGTTGGCCACCTCCCTTTTCTTGTTAGGCTACAATTACATTCCTTTAATGATTTGTAGTGGTCTTCCTTTTGCTTTTTCAAACTTTTGTTATGTTTTGGCATTTGCAGCTGGCAGGAATTTTGTCAAGATGTATCATTAGAAAAGGCTGGGTGGCATCTTGAAGCATTTGATCATGAAAAGTCTGATACTGTGGACGGAAATATTGATTTCAATCAAGAATATAGTCTTCGTACTTTTGCTCCTGCTTCACCGGCTCTTTCCTTTTCAAAGTTTCATGAGATTGAGCCGTCAAATAAGAATAGAAGGTTGGCAACACGGTAAGCGTTTACTAAAATTAATAGTTCAGCCATGTAATGATGTTGTATACACTAGCAACTTGGTTGTAATGACAAAGGAGTGAGCTGATGGAAGCGTATCTTTGTAGGGATGGGTGGTGCAGTGGTACCACAATGACTTACCATTCCCCTCTCCCCCCAAATGAGGAAAAAAATATTTTTTCTTTAAATGACATTTACCATGTTTCATTTGGCTTCATATTATGCTGCCTTTATCTCTTGGCTCTTTCAATATCTTCAGGAATGTGACATCCATGCAAAATCCTTTTGTTTTGACATCTGCTATGAAGAAAAGTTTTGAGATAGTTCGGTTGGCAGTGAGCCAAAAGTGGCCTGTTCTTCTGTATGGTCCTGCTGGCGTGGGGAAAACAAAACTAATTAGCAAGTTAGCCATGGATAGTGGAAGTCAAGGTACGCATTCCTTGTTTTATTCAATTTTAATATATGGGTTGTCAGTAAAGGGAGGAAAATGCCAAAAAAGTTAGAATTTCATTTTTTTAAACACATTACGGATGTTTCTATATATTTTTAACACTATTAACGACAACCCTATGGTTGGTCGTAGCATTTTCCTTCATATATTTGATACATATGTTTTGTTTTGTTTTGTTTTAATTCATTTTTTTGCAGCAAGGCAATTTCTTAGGATCGATTATCACAACGGTTGGGGAGATTGGAGTGGATGTGGTTCATAGAATTAAGGCGGGGTGGCTTAAGTGGAGGAGTGCGTCTGGGGAACTGTGCGATAAACGAGTATCTGCTAGACTAAAAGAGAAGTTTTATAGAACTGCTATTAGACTAGTGATGTCGTATGTGGCGAAATGTTGGGCAATTAAGAAACAACATGTAGATAAGATGAGTGTTGATGAGATGAGGATATTAAGGCGGATGTGTGGCAAGATTAGAAAAAACAAAGTTCGGAATGGGTATATTCGAGAATGGGTAGGAGTAGTACCGATAGAAGATAAGTTGAGAGAGAATAAATTGAGATGGTTTGGTCATATACAACGGAGATCAACATAAATAGTAGTGAAGTGATACGATACAGTGACGGTACATGGAAGTGTTAGGGGAAGGGGTAGACCTAGATTAACGTGGGCTAGTGTAGTAAATAAAGATATGAATCTCCTTAATTTGACTAACGAAATGGCATTGGATAGAGTCGAATGTAGAAGAATCCTGTAACCGACCCCATTTGATGGGACTTAAGGCTAGGCTTGGTTTGGTTTGAGGCAATTTCTTACACCTAACACTATGATCTATGAAGCACACGTACGGGTGTGGGTATGGATACAGGTACGGGTATAGGTACGCCCATACGACAAATTCTTAAAAAAGTAGGGTACGGATACCGGTATGGGTACCGGTACGGCTGGGATACGTCAATTTTATTTTTATTTTTTAAATTTATAGCTAAACATCCAACATACAAATCAAAGTTTTAATATCAAAACTAAAAAGAGAACAACTTGTCTAAAAAGTTATATAATTCTTTCTTTTTCTTTTTTGATTGTCTAAAATAGGATGCAAAAGAGAGCAAAACCATGACTTATGGGTAAAGGGTGTTGGAAATAAATTACTTATATTTTCAAAATTGAAAGAAGAATAATAAAGGTTGCAACAAATTCTAGCAGCTGCAAAAAAAGAAAAAAAAAAAAACCTTGCCGTACTAGTGCCGTACTTATGTTGTATCCACGACGTACCCAAATGTTGTTGCCATACATGGCATGTATTCGGCGTACCCGGTATGCGTACCGCTGTACCGGTACGCGTACCTGCACCCGGTAAGTGCCTGGTACTCGTATGGTACCATTTTTGGATTGCCCATGCTTCATAGTCTGATATATTTTAAACTTATAATGCATGTTTCAAGTGGAAAAAATAGAGGGAATAACGTTTCTTTTTTTGATTTTGATTTATTTATTTTTTAAAATCTGGAGAGTAGATCAAAATCAAGGCACCAGGATTAAGTTGAGTATAGCATGGCGGTAATTGTCACACCAAGATTAGAAGTAGTCTATATACACAGAAGTAGTCCAAGGTTGTGTTCTTTGTTTGAACAACAATGGATGGTAAGATATTAACTGCTGACAACTTTATTTGAAGGAAACAAGTGCTTGTCCATTGGTGTTGTTTGCGAAAGAGGGATGGTGAATTGGTGGACCACCTTCTCAATCCTTGTTTGGTGGCTAGGGAGTTGTGGTCTTTGTTGCTTCTGTTGTTTGATGTGGTTAGGTGTTCTCGTCTAGTGTGCAGGGCTTATTGCACTTTTGGAGGGGAGTTCTGGTTGGCAAAAGAAAAAAAGTGGCCGGGAATTTTGATCCTTGGTGATGTGAAGCATTTGGACAGAGTGGAATAGAAGATCTTTTGATGAAGTTGAGACCCCTATTTTTTATAGAAAAGAAAATTTTCAATTATTTTATGTTGTTTCCCGGGCAGTGTGGACCCATCATTGAACCGATTTTTTGATTTTGTAGAGAATCTTGAATAGCTTTTAGTATAGGTGTTTTTTTCCCTCCTTTTTTTCTTGGCCTTCTGTTTACTGATTTGGTACAACTACGTAAAGTATTTTAGGAAAATGATCATATACGTTGGACATATTGCTTTATTGCCAATATTTACTGTAGGCTGAGAAGGGCAAAATTGTGGGTAAAATTGTCTGCTCTCCTCTTTTTTCCTTCCCTCTCCTTTGCACTTTTGGTAATCTTCGACATTCTCTATCCATTGATAATATTATAGTTTCCATTTTCTCTCTTCCTTTCTTATTTTATTTTATTTTGATCAATTGTGAATAAATATGGGCTTTTTGTTGGCGTCGGTTGACTTAGAACTGTAAGAGGAAAGAGGGCCAGTTTGATGGGTGATGGATACAGTTATTGAAACTGGATTTGGCATCTTATGCTCTCGGGAGACGATTATGAAAGACTTGAAGTGTGGGTTGCTGCCTGTATGATTGTTTATCTTGTTAACACTGCATAGTTATATGTATTTATATATGAATGCCTTGACATTTTCATTTGATGGATTGTATCTCTTGTTTTGTAAGTTTCTTGTTTACGCTGGCTATAACTATATTCTTTCAATACTCTGTTTTTTCATGTCTTATTGCAGTTCTATCCATTCACATGGATGAACAAATTGATGGAAAAACATTGATAGGAAGTTATGTGTGTACGGAGAAACCTGGTGAATTTAGATGGCAGCCTGGTTCTCTTACACAGGTTTGTCCATCTTCGGAGAATAATTGTTGTTGTTTGTATTCTTTGTGGGCATAATATATCTAAATTTTCTACTTACAGGCTGTTCTCAATGGATTTTGGGTTGTCTTTGAGGATATTGATAAAGCACCCTCTGATGTACAATCCATCTTGTTACCTTTGTTGGAAGGTGCAAGTTCATTTTTTACTGGTCATGGGGAGGTATTTACCTTACATTCTCTTTCAGAAAGTATTTTATTAGCACATCTATTTCTGAATTGAAGTTTTCCATATATGTGTTGTGTTTCTTGGTCTTGAGGAGTTTTCTCAGTTGTATTGTATCATCATTTGGTTATGTTTCATTTGAAATGCAGTTAAGTATTTCATTATGAAGCCTGAGCAAATGTATGCTCTTTGAAGGTCATTTTTTCTAGAAATTGTTGGTGTTCAGCTTACACCTCACTGTTTTCGAACAAATGTTTTTCCTCTGCTTTGTATTTATATTTATTAACATTAAGCATTTTTTTTTTGTACAGTCATATGCTGCTTGTTTACCTCTTAATTTTTCTGCTTGACGAACAATTTGAATTGGATTGAACATTTGCAGGCAATTAGGGTGGCAGAAGGTTTTCAATTATTTTCCACAATATCAAGCATAAATCTTAATATATCTCATGCTATAGAAGGTATGTAAATGCAATTGAACTTCAGTGGTTGCACTCTATGAATCTGGTTTTTGGATATGTGAACCAGGTGTGTTTGCTCAAAAAAGTGCCCCTCTCCCCTGCACAGGGGAAAAAGATAGAAGAAAGCGAAAAAAGAACTGTTTCTGTTATATGTCTAGTTGATATTTTAAGTGTTTATAGATTTAGTGTTTATACATAGACTGAAAAGCAACAAGCTCTTCTGAGAATGGTTCTCGACTTGGAACCATGGTCATGTGCATTTGGGTGCTATTTGTTTTATGATTCTATTGGATCCTTGGTAACTTATTTTATTTCTTTGCTTATTTAAATTGTTTCACACCTTGTTTTTCGAGTAATTTTTTCTATACATTCAATCAACTGGAAAATTTGGTTCTTATGCCTGGGTGAATGGTTTAGTTAGTTTTTGATCTGTCCATCTTCCAGATTAGTGGGTTACATTTGTAGTGGTGTAATTAGCATTAAAATGCTACAGATTCTTTCATATTCTAGATTTTGTATGTGCAGCAGAAGCCAATTCTTTGTGGCTCAAATCTGAAGTTTTTTATTTTGCTTGGGTTGTCAGAGCTAGAAATTTTGGCATCCTCAAAAGTTGGTCTTCATTTTTGGGATAGAGTACTTTTTTTCTTCTGCATTTTCTTTCTTTTTTATTTTCTTTATCACATTTGATTAATAGGTCGGAACGCTCTTGGTGCTCTTTGGAGGAGAGTGATGATTGGACCCCCAAGTAATGATGACTTGATAAGCATAGTGAAAGCACAGTATCCAGATTTGGAGCATCTTGCTGAAAAACTCATCGGTACGCTAGATCTACATGGTTTTAATTCTGGACTTGAGACTTACCTAAAATTGATTTTTTCTTCTCTTTCTGTTCTGTTCTGTTTTTGTTTTTTGTTTTTTCTGGCAGAGACCTTTGAAAAAGTTAACCAGCTGGCAAGCTTTCAGTTTGGAACTTCTGCTTCTTTGAGTTCTCTCGGCAGATTCTCCTTAAGGTGGTTATCTTGTTGCAGTTGTTGATATGCAAGTTTGGTTGGATGTTATTAGTTTATATTTATTTGTCTGCAATTGTAGGGATCTGTTGAAATGGTGCAAGAGAATTGCTGCTTTGGGTTTTAGCTTTGGTGTGGATGGGTTTTCAAGTTATGTGTGTAGTAGCATTTATCAAGAGGTTTGATACAGTTGTTTCAACTCCTTTCTGGTCTCATTTGATGAACATTTTCTGGACGTAGTACTGGTAACATGAATTTTGGCAATGGTTTTTCAGGCTGTAGATATTTTTGCATCTTTCACAACCTCTGCCAATAATCGTCTGACTATCATGAAATATATTGCGAAGACGTGGGCAGTGCCAATTTCTGCTGCAGAGACTTTATATCCTGTTAATAAACCTGTTATCCAGGTTTTCATTATTCACATCCGATGCCTTATTTTTATGACAACTTGTTAACTTATCACAGTTTTTCATAGTTGCAACTTTCTTTCAGGAATTGCATTCTGATTTACTTATTGGACGAATTACCCTCCATCGTGCTGAAAGCACAGTGAGTGCATGCAGCTGACTTTGTATTGCTTGAGCATTGTTATGATTTTAGCTTCTTTCCTGAAGTTTTGCTACTTGTTCTTTGTCAGTTTCGATATGAAAGAAAACCCTTTGTTGAAATTCGTAGTTCAATACATGTCCTTGAGAGGATAGCTTGCTCTGTTAAGTTCAATGAGCCTGTTCTTTTGGTTGGTGAAACTGGTACTGGGAAGACCACTCTTGTACAGAGTCTGGCCTTGAGACTTGGTCAGAAACTTACTGTTTTGGTACGTTCATCATGGAGCTCTGTATGCTCACATGTCTATACCAGTATTCTGAGTATTTTCATGATGCTGATTCATTAACAATTTGTTTTTGGACAGAACTTAAGCCAGCAAAGTGATGTTGCTGATTTGCTAGGAGGATTTAAACCTATGAATGCACAGTTTCTATGCATTCCTCTTTATATGGAGTTTGAGAATCTTTTCACCACTACATTTTCTTCAAAGGTACTTTTCTTTTTGATAATGTTTTATACTTCTCCTTTACTTATTCTCAGTTGGCACGACCGACTTATGTTATTGGTTGTTGACATTCAGGATAATGAGGATTTTCTTGTTCGTTTGAAGAAATTTGTGAACGACAAGAATTGGAAGAAGTTATTAAGTGGATTTCGAAAGGGTGTCCAGAAGATACTTGAAATAGGAAGATCTGGGTCTGGTACCAAGCGAAAGAGACCTTTAAGGGAAGAATTACTGAAAGCTTGGGAGGATTTTTCTTTGAAACTTGAAAGTGCTCGTGCGCAAATCAATGATTCATCCGGAATGATATTTTCATTTGTAGAGGGAGCTTTTGTAACTGCTCTTCGAAATGGTGAGTGGATTTTGCTTGATGAGATGAATTTGGCTCCTCCAGAGACCTTACAGAGAGTTATTGGCGTTCTTGAAGAAGAGAATGGTTCACTTTGTTTAGCTGAAAGAGGGGATGCTGATTATATCTACAGACATCCCAACTTCCGTATATTTGCTTGCATGAATCCTGCCACTGATGCTGGGAAGAGAGATTTGCCCTACTTGTTACGTAGTAGATTTACTGAATACTTTGTTGATGATGTGCTAGATGATGAAGATTTAATTCTGTTTATAAATCAGTTTGTGGATGATGGCCATTCGAATATTGAGCTAGTAAAGAAAATAGTCCATTTTTATAAAGCTGCTAAGAAGAAATCTGAAGAAAGGCTGCAAGATGGGGCCAATCAGAAGCCCCAATATAGTTTAAGATCTCTTTACCGTGCGCTAGAGTACACAAAGAAAGCGAGAAGACATTTTGGATTTCAGAAGGCCCTTTATGATGGATTTTGTATGTTTTTCTTGACTTTATTAGATGAACCTAGTGCTAAGTTAATGAACCAAATGATATCATCATATTTGTTAGGGGGAAATATACCGCCACCTGTCTCTTTTGATGGTTACCTGATGAAAAGAGGAAACGCAACATTGGATAATTTATTGGAGAACTATGTTCTGACTAAAAGCGTTAAGGAGCACCTCAGGAACTTGGCACGAGCTATATTTGTTGGAAGATATCCTGTTCTTCTACAAGGGCCTACGTCTAGCGGGAAGACTAGCCTTGTTCAGTATCTTGCTGCAATAACTGGTCATGAATTTGTGCGGATCAATAATCATGAACACACAGATCTGCAGGAATATCTAGGTTCTTACATCACTGATGCTAGTGGGAGGCTCGCATTCCATGAAGGTGTGTTGGTTAAGGCTGTTAGGAATGGACATTGGATAGTTCTGGACGAGCTTAACCTGGCTCCATCTGATGTGCTGGAAGCATTGAACCGGTTGCTAGACGACAATAGGGAACTATTTGTACCTGAATTACAGGAAACTGTTCGTGCTCATCCTGATTTTATGCTGTTTGCTACTCAAAATCCACCTACTTTTTATGGTGGGCGTAAAATGCTTTCTCGAGCATTTCGCAACCGTTTTGTGGAGATCCATGTTGATGAAATTCCTGAAGCAGAGTTAAGTGAAATATTGGAGAAGAGGTGCAAAATTCCTGCAAGCTATGCCAGGAAAATGGTTGAAAAAGTCATGAAGGAGTTGCAGTTGCAGAGGCAGAGTAGTAAAGTTTTTTCTGGGAAACATGGATTTATTACCCCACGTGACTTGTTTCGGTGGGCTGATCGTTTCAGGACATTTGGGAAAACCTATGAAGATTTAGCCAGAGACGGTTATTTTTTGTTGGCAGAGAGGCTGAGAGATGATTGTGAGAAAACTGTGGTTCAAGAAGTTCTGCAGAGACAGCTCGGAGTTAAACTTGACAGGGATGACTTGTACAAGCAGGTCTATCTACCGTCTCTATGTGTATCTCTCTCTATGTCTGCATGCATAGTTCGCTGTGTAACTAGACGATGATTGAACTATGTCACCTAGATTTCTCTGGAGTTGCATTAACATCTAAAACCTAAAACAAGTGCCTGGACATTTTATGTTTCTTTTACCAATCTCTTAATTGTCTCAATTGAAACATGTGTCTGAAGAATTTTTAAATTTGATAAGAGCAGCTGTCATGTCAGATTGAACAATGTTGGCCTGGATTTCTGTGGAAGCAGCTAAAAATTGCTCTGGTATTAACTTCAAAATAAAGAACTGCTATGGCTTTAAAAATTTCTTTGCAAAAGCTGATCACTGCTCCATTGAAATATGTACCCCACATAGCATCCTGTAGTTTAATTCAAGTGCAAATTTTGTTTATGTGATGGCATAATTTGGTGCATAATTTCCTCCATTGCTTGCTGATGTTCGTTTACTCATAAGGCATTGTAACTATAGATGCTGATATATAATCATGCATATTATGCGTGCATATTTTTAAACAGTCTTCTCTTATTTTTACTTGATTAATTGGCTAATGGATTGTGTGTGCTAGTGTTGGATGACATAGGTATGCATTTACAGTTCTATGGGTCCACATAGGCAATGTAATTAGCAGATGCTTGTTTATTTGTCAGGGCTAGATAACACTGTTATATACGGGTGCCTTGGAAATTGTGTCTCGAAACTTCCACATTCAGAATGGTTGAATAGCGTTTGTTATGTGATTCAGGATCCAGCAGAAAGGGAAAAGTTTTTGAACCTATGTGAATCTTCAGGAGTTTCCCAGTATCTTGGAAAGTATGCATCTGTCTCGTATTATGTGTATTGTGTTGATAGGTGTGCGTAACTTTCTGAGTTTGTTTTTTGCCCTTTCTTGTTTATTGCAGAATTGCGTGGACTGAAAGTATGTGGAGGTTGTACTTTCTTATAGAGCGTTGTTACAAGATGCGTGAGCCTGTCCTCCTCATTGGTGAAACTGGTTGTGGGAAGACAACTGTTTGCCAGTTACTTAGCATCGTGTTAGGCTCCAAATTACACATTTTGAATTGCCATCAGTACACAGAAACATCTGATTTCCTTGGGGTTTGTGGTCTTCTATTTTAGTTTTAGCTTCTTTGCTTGTTTTTGTATCTCTGCTTCTTTTATTTAGATTGGTTGTTCTAGCATTCTACAAAAGTACATGACAAGTTTCATTTTACACAAGTCTATGAAGAATAAAAAAATGTATTGATGAATCATTTAACAGGGGTTTTATCCTGTACGAGAGAGATCAAGACTTGCTTCGGAGTTCAAAAATCTATGTGAACAATTAATGCTGTCGAAGGCTTTTGTTCACTTCCCTGGTTCTGCTGTATGTTCCTTTCTGTTTGTCTTACAACTTGATTACTCGAGGTTTTTCACATTCTCGTACAATATTTATGGTTCTTATGTTGAATGTTTTTTGCCTGCAGAAAATATCTACAGATATTGGTCAAGCCACTTCAACTATTGATCAGCTAGGTGTAATTATAAATAGTTATAGACAGGGTCTGGTCTCTCATCCTGATGCTACTCCACAAGATCTTGATTCACTTGAACAACTGAATCTGGACCTAGCTCAGCTACAGCAGAAGTGGCAGACCATTTTTATGTGGCAAGATGGACCGCTTGTTGAAGCAATGAGGAACGGCGATCTCTTTCTTGTGGATGAAATTTCTTTGGCAGATGACAGTGTACTCGAAAGATTAAACAGCGTCTTGGAGCCGGAAAGGAAACTGGTGGGTAATGTTATCACAATATCTGGTTTTTTTGATATGCTTTGATATCAATTGCATAGCTGTTTGAGTTAGTGCTGACATGTGTCTTTGCTTCATTATTGTGTAATTATAGTATAACTTTGGAAGTTGGGTGCCAGAATTCCACTGCTTTCTGAAATATGTGAACTGCTTGATATGATGTACGATACTGTCTTACAGTAGAAAGAAAAAGTATAAATTGGGGCCACCTTTTTGACTATGTTCTATTGGAAGTCCTATCTGTACTTGATGAATTTTCATTCCTTTTAGAAATGCATGATGTGATTTTTAGATAATTAGTTTTACAAATGTGAAGGTGCATATACATGATATGCTGTTCATTTTATTCTGTCAAGCATATTGTAATGATGTCTGCATACTTTAATGGTGTGAAGATGTGTTTCTTTCTGTCTATAAAGAATTAAAAACACACCTTTCTGTGGTTTCCAACCATCTTCTTTACCTAATCACCATGTTGACTGTTGAGCCAACATTTTTCACCTATTTGACTACTAGCTGCTTTTTCTGAACTTGTTTCTACTCTAAACTGGTGTTGGTTGACGTCTACTTAGTACTATTTGCACATCAAATTGTTTCCCTGCTGCTGTGTACCCTGTTAGTTGTTTGCCCCTTGCTTGTTTTCCTCGAGGTGAATGGTGTGTAGACAGTCTTCACCTGGTCATTTTCTGTTTCTTCTTCGTCTTCTTTTTTTTTTTTTTTTTCACAGCCATCTCCAGGTTGTATAATGTAACTTTCAAGGGGGTATTTATGGCCTCTGCTCCTTGTTCACTTCTAGTTTACTTGGTTAATGTTTGGGTGGATTTTCCAAATTTGTTTGCCAGTTTATATTTTATTGATTTGACAATTTTCCCTTCTGTCCTACAGTCTTTGGCTGAGAAAGGAGGTTCTGATCTTGAGAAAATAACTGCTCATCCGAACTTTTTCCTTCTTGCAACAATGAATCCTGGTGGTGATTTTGGTAAGAAGGAACTATCTCCTGCCCTTCGCAATCGGTTTACTGAGATATGGGTTCCTCCTGTCAACAACGTAAATGAGCTCAGAACTATAGCTCTACGGAGGTATGTGAACCATCAAAAGCATAGTTAAATGTAAGTTCATTATTGAATTTGTTCGCTTAATCTTTTTTCTCCATTTTTGCAGAATTTCGAACCCAGACCTATCATGCGTTGTAGATCCTATGCTGAATTTCTGGGAGGTATCTTCTATTGCAACTGCTCATGGATATTACTATTTCTCTCCCCGCTCTCTTTATACTACAAGTTGCTGAAGATGTTTTTAGCAAGTGGCTGCAGTTTCTGTATAAATGCATAGAAATGCTGATTTCTTCATCTTGATTGGCTAGTCTTTAATATCCACTTTTTTGAAGTTGAACTCTCAAAGCAAGTTAACTTAGTTCTTTTTTTTGTTGGAACGATTTCAGTAAATAATTTTTCATGGAGTCACAACGTTACCCTTGGCTTGATTATTTTGTGTTATCCAGGAGGAGCAAATGAAATCCTTTTCATCTCTCAATTCTCTCCCTGTTCAGTTATGATTTTTGGCTGACCTTTTGCAATGCTATTTGTGTTAATTTGTAACTTCAGATATTATTTCCTGTGCTTGGTATTCTATTCGAGGGTTTTTTGAATGGGGAGAGAGCTAGATTTATGGTCACGATGGTTTTCTTAGTGATCATTTGTATTGTGAGAGTCGTAGAACTTTTAGTAGTTAAAAATGAGAAGAAACGGCTCCTTGGGGAAAAGTGTGCTTTTAGCACCTCCTTTTTGGTGGGTTGTCTCGTCTCCAAAGAATTTGGAGCAGTACCTTTGAAATTAATTTTGATGTTTGAAAAGCAGTAAATTATTTTAGAGAGGTTAGTGGTTAATTAAATATTATTGGATCTTTTGCTGGATGATGGAAAAAAACTTGATGTCGTGGAAACGGTAGAGGAAACAAAGGAGAAGAAGGAGAAAAGAAGAGAGGAAAAGGAGAGAGAGAGATCCAACGCTCTCAATTTCAATTGTGCCAAAAAATCTGATCTATTCAGTACATCAACCATTAATAATATAAGTAAAATCCTAAATAAACTCTAAAATCATAAATCATTAAAATCCCCAAGTAAAATAAAATCTTATTTGTTGCTGCTCCACAGATTCCATCACCTGAAATCTCAGAACGGGCTAGAGCGAGGGAAACTTTTTTGCTTTTTTTGAAGTCTTCAGGAAGCCTTAGAATCAATATTAAATTTTCAGCCATTACAGCCCGATCATGTCAGTCTCACTAGCTTCCATTGCTATATTGACACCGACACTTAAGAAATGTGAGGTCAACTTGTATGTGGAAAGTATCATATTATTTCAGTAATTGCCGGCTGAAACATCATCACTTCGTGTTACTACCGCTACATCTTACAATATTGACTTTATTTTGCTGCGGTTACAGACACATGTTTTAATAATTGAATTTATTTTTTAGTTCTCTTAGAAACTTGATTAAAATATAGACAAATGGAATGAGTGGTCAGAACTTTAAAATTTGTGCAGATATGATTAGAAAAATAATTTGTATCCAAATCTCTATTTCTGTTTCTGAAGGAAATTTCATTTTCAATTGGAAATGCCATGAACTCTCCTTTGAGGATCTTTGAGATTGTTGAAGTACCTTTGCTTGTGAATAAACTTGTTAATCCAAAAATTCGAAGTCCACAAATTTTGCATGTTTCACTGCCACTGTTAGCATGAATATTTAGTTTGGGATGTTATATTGTTGTCTTTCTTCTTCTTCCTCTTATTTATTATTATTGTTATTATTATTGTACTGCTATTAATATTGGCATTCCCTTGATTCTCATTGAACTACTAGTACTTCTATGTGAAACTATTTTGGGTTTCTTTATTGTGTCAGTCTTGTCTGTGTTTGGCTGACAGTGTGGCTACTACTGATTTTGGTGTATTTGTATGTTTCTTTTGCATTGCTTTCCGTCTTGCAGTGGTTCAATCAGTTACAAACAGGGAGAATGCTTACTGTCAGAGATCTTTTGTCCTGGATAGCTTTTATCAATGCAACTGAGGGAAATTTACAACCCGCAGATGCATTCTTACAAGGGGCTTTCCTTGTTTTGCTTGATGGACTAAGTTTAGGTACATCCTCATTTTCTTCATGAGGCACATGTTTCTGTATTGCTGACTAAATAAGTTATTCTCCACAAATTAATTGATCTTGCGAAATAGTTTTAGATGCAATCTCTATAATCAGATTTTGTCTTGGGGGTTGTTTTCATGATTGGAGAACTGATACTTTCTGTCAAGAACCAAACCTGTCCCTATAGGTTTAGCGTCATGACCGGTCAGTAATCATAGATTACCTACGGCCTCCAAACAAATAAACCTTTTAAGATAAAGTATGGGACTTAGCGGAAGTCTAAAATAACATAAAAATTATCCATTGAGCCATGCGTACATGAAGAGAACCAATATAATAAGCAAAATTTGTTCCAAAAGTACATTTATCACAATTGTACAAAATTCATGTCTTACAAATATACAAACCCCCAACAATGCACAAACACAAAATCACTGAACAACAAAATGGGGTCCCACTAGTATGGCTCCACCTGAGCCTGATGACTTCGCTTGGAAACTCCTCGAAAGGCTGACCTGGGTAGACTCAAGGCTTACCTAACTCTATTGTTCAGCTTGCCCATCTACGTATATATAAATAAATAGTGAGCTAGGGCCCAGTGAGTAATAACAGAATAAAGAGGTTATGTGAATGAAGTTCGATAATATGCTAATCAAAATCTTGTTTCAGTTCTCAATATCCAATAGATTCATGGTCGATGTCATTCAATATCAATTTAAGGGGCTCATTCATGAACAATAATAATACTCCAATCATAGTGAAGTGTAAACCAATGGACCACGAAGGGTCAAACCAATGGCCGTGGTATTGTTACCTCCAGGCAAGGGCTTATGGGTCAAACCAATGGACCGCAGAGGCTCAAACCAATGGCCGTGGTATTGCTACCCCAGGCAGGGCTTATAATCAGTGGATGCCACACCACAGTTTCATAAGTGAACTTCATTCATCAAAGTAACATTTTAATTAACCAATCAATCAACATGTTACGAATTCAGAAACAATAATTAATTCGAAAATAAATATACTTTGAAGATATCTTTATAAGGTTATTACTCACAGTGGTTTGAGTTGCCATTAAGCCTCGGACGTCCACCTAACAAAACACATAACAGAAGCACAATTGAAGCACCAATTCATTTTAATTCAATTCTTCTCATGTGTTTCTAACTCATTCTATGATTATATGAGTTCAATTGGTGCCCAAGAGTACTTGAAATGACATGAGGATGCAAATATGCACCTAAAAGAGTTAGTCAAATTTTGCTGAAAACAGGGTTTCCGCTCAAGCACAACTTCCTTTGCTCAAGCGGGGGTTCAAAAACAAAGGTGGTCGCTCGAGCGTAACTTTCGTCACTCGAGCGGTCTGCAAACTTGGCAAAAGTAGAGGTTGCATGAAGTTCCCGCTCAATGGTCGCTCGAGCGGAAGACTGAGTAAAAAGGGTCCTCGCTCGAGCGTCACTTGGGTCCTCGCTCGAGCGTCACTTTGGTCGCTCGAGCGATTTGTAAAATTTTATAAAACTTCCGAGAGCTCGACTTTCACGCTCGAGCGGACAAGCCAAATTCTGGAATTTCTAGAACTGTGTTTGAAGTTCAAATATGATATTCAAAGCCTCAAAACTTGTATTTTTGGTACAAAAACATAGAGAATCATTATATAATTTAAAAACATTTCCAATTAGAAATCATTTACTCAAAATCATGATCCCTTTTGACAACCAAAAGCTTGAACTCTATATTATGAATCATGCATACATCATATTGAATATATATATGTTCCTATATCCTCCCAAAACTTGATCAACCCACATGATAAGTTTGAAAACATGATAAAACACTCAAATTAAGTTACAAAATTGCCATGCATGTGAGAATTTCATAGATTCTTACTCAAAATGCACATGCATGTATGCAATTCAACTCTTTTACACTCAATTCATGGAAATCTAACACATAACTCTAAATTACATGCAAAAGAGTGTTGGAGCTGGTTGAATTAAACTTCTTCATGCAATATTTCCAAGAATTAAAGATGGATTTCATACCTAGTGTTGAATACAAGTGTTGGCCTAGCTCAATTCACCAAAATTCTAGAAATTCTCTTCAAATCTCCTCTTTCTCTCTCTAAAGTGTTGAGTTCTTCCTCTCCCTTCCTCAAAATCTCAGCCAAAGGATGTAAATATGAGCCTATAAGCTTAATTAGAGCTATTTATATGGCGTGATTAGCTTAGCCTAATCAAGTATGATTAAGGTTAAGTAATTTAGGCTCAATTCTAATTAATTCAATCAGTTTATTCTAATTATTTTGATCCAAATCAATTTTCAATTAAAGTTACCATAAAATTCCAAATATTCTAATTAGTCTATTACGCTATTCAATTTCAGTTTCTGAAGCCGTCTAGGCTATCATTTTCTGTCTCTAAGTTGTCAATACGAATAGATATTTCATGTGACAACAGATAGCTACAAAACTAAGCATGTAATCACACAATCAGGCACACAATCATGCAATTAAACTTATTAGAATAATATAATATACTAGTCCGGAGGTCGGGGTCGTCACACTTTCAGTCATGCATTTTTTTTTTTTGGATCAACAACAAATTTTATTGATTAATCAAAAAGAAGAAATGGGGATAAGGCATCCTCTACACGAAAAATAAAGGAAAAAAAAAAACATAACCCAAACAAACGGCTACAAACTACAAACATAACCCAAACAAATGACTGAATGACTTTCAGTCGTGCATTTTCCCAGGCCAGTCTTAAAAGGCATGCTTTCTTGTAATATTTCATTAAGCAGCTGTGGTTTAACTAACTTTATGTTTGTTAAAAGTTATGCATTTATTCTTGCTAGGTTTTTCTTCAAATTTTTTTTTTATAAATTTTTTGAAGGATTTTTTAGACTGGTTTTTCAACGAATATTATGCTAACCACTTCCTGTTAATTGGTGATATCAAGTCTACATTTGTTTTTCTGGTTTTTGGTAATGTGGATTATCAACATGGTTGTTTTTGTGTATTTGCAGAACCTTTCTTGTTTGCATTTTTTTTTTTTTTCCGCTCTAGTAAATTATTTTCCTGCAATCTTTTCCAGGTACGGGTATTTTGAAAAGTGATGCCGGAGAGTTGAGGGAGAGATGCTTGTCCTTTCTTCTGGAACAACTAAAGGTGTTGTTGCTTGTTTTCACGAACTGTGGTTTCACTGTTTATCTTGATCACCACATTATGAAAATGGTGAATATGCTGTTTGCTTTCCTTGCCTTGGGAACTATTTGAGAATTTTCCGAAGTGGCCAGATTTGGTCCACTTTATAATGCAATCTTTGTTTCCTTACAAACCGACATGATGTTATTTATGAATTGGGTGTTGTGTTTCAGCAGAAACCACCATGAAGTCAGTTATGAGTTGGGTGTCTTGTAGTTATGTTTTTGAAACAGAGCTAACCTTCTGACTAAATTCTTTATACTTACCAGGCTAGAAAACTATAAATATGATGACTGTGTAAGCTGTAAACTATCAGTCAATTTTCTAAGTTCCTGAAATGGGCCCATACCTTGTTGGGTTTTTGTACTGAGCTTAGGAGTGTATATGTTATCTTTGTTTGGTTCCAGTGAAAATCCAAACAGACTGTGTTCTTTGTGTCCGCTAGGTATAGCATTCCTATGATCGATTGAGAAAGAAAAGAAATGGATTTAATAGGAACTGTCATCGACCTACTTAATACTTGGTATGTAATAAAGTTCATGTCATGTACGGCAGGGTAAAAACAGATATAAAGGGTGATGTTGCCTTAGCAGTCTGAGATACATGAATTCGTCTATTTGTATGCCCATACAAAATCTAAGAGGTTTGCTTTCAAGGAAATTCTGTCCATTGATTAAAAAAGTTGATCAAGTCATAATATTTCTCGTCATCAATCTGTGGAAAATAGAAAGTATTTCTCTCATGTTAAATCTTCAAGAAGTATTAGTATTGTTAGAAATGTTCCTCCACAGCCTCCACTCAACTTTTTGTTCATACTGGTGAAAGGAAATAGGAGTTTGAATAAGCACAAATGCCCCAAGGTTTTGCTTAGTGTAGATGCACTTTCATACGCTTTTTATATTTTCCATGCTTGAAATGAATGAAATTTTTATCGCTCTTTTGTAAGTTGGTTTGAGCATGGAAGTATCCATTTTTGTTGTTACAGATGGTTGTGTGATATAATTCAAATTATGGTAAGCAGCTTGTTTAGGAAGAAGGAATATATGGGGAGTGACTGAGTATTTGGGGCCCTTTTTTTTTTTGGATAAATAAATAAAATTTATTACGAAAAGCATCAAGAAGATGCTAAGGAATACAAAACTGGAACCCCACAGAAAAAAGGGCTACACCTAACCAATCAAATCATCTACAAAATCCAAAAAGTCAAACGAAACCGGATCCACCCTCCCCAACACCCAACTATACAAAACACCAAAAAGCCGACTCTCAAGCCAAGATAGTGGCTGAGCATCCCCCTGAAATATAGGCCGATTCTGCTCTAACCAAATCAACAACATCAAATGTTAAAATACAATGTATAAAGAGAAATAGAGAATTGTATAGGTATTGATTGTATTATTGATTGATGAATGTTATATATTACAAATGGTGAGGGGCTCCTTATATAGGAGATGTAGTGGAGTAGGTGGTAGTGGTAGGTGTGTAGTAGGTGGTAGTAGGTGGTGGTAGGTGTAGTAGGTGGAGTAGGTGATGGTAGATTTTAACAGCCCCCCATTCGCCAGAGCTTCTTGCCTTTGAGGAAAGAGGACATAGCTTGGGCCCACAGA